GCGTATTAATTTGAGCACACGATTAGCTTTAGTTTATAATAGTTCTCAAATTATTTTATTTATATATGTAAAATAATGCATACAGAAATTAATTCTCTGATTGTCAGTCAATTTCGCTGTCATTAGTTAATCTGAGCGATTTTACAGCTTATTAATCCGGCCTTACCTACGCTTCTACGAGTCATTGAGCAATCACCATGGTGAGTGTAAAATGAAGGCATTCGAATTTCCAAGTTGTCAGAGTTAATGAAAATACTCCCACCTTGGCACTTAATTTAAATATCAGCTTAAGAATTTAGACGCAGACAGCAAATTTTCGAAATTAGATGCGATATAAATATCATTAAGTTCAAAGAAAGCGGCTAAATTCTAATACAATTCCTGGAAACTGATTTGCTTTAAATAAATCGGTAAAGTTATTGAATAAATTCATTTGCCAAATTCTTGTTATTTATTATTAAATTTATAATTAGTTTATTTTAAAAATTCAATAACTCTAAATTATTATTATAGGGTAACTTTATTTGATTTGATATTTGGAATCAACCTGTTGCTCTCTAAGTATATGCAGGAGTCCAGAAAGTTCTGATAGAGAATGAGAGAATGAGCTATGAATATATTATAAAGTTAATATGAATTTATGATTTATTAGCTATAATTGTATTCTAATCTACTAAATCTAGCTTGAATGCCGCTAAATTTGCATCAAATTATGGCTATATCCCAGACTAGTAAGAACTTTTAATCTAGACAAGATGTGAACTGCTTTACCAGCTTAAATATTAATAATAATTTGTATAATATTTTTAAATTGTTTCTCAGCCAAATAAATATTGTTCAGCTGCCCTAAAAGATGTATCCAAACTGAATTGGTGCACTGCCATTCATGAGCTGATCAACGAGTTAATTAAAGTCACCCACGCTCATATACTCAAAGTCAAGCAGACTTTCTAGGTGGCCGTCACTTATGCAAATTATTTCTGAATAAAAAATAATAAAAAAAAAGAAATAAAAAAAACAAATGAATGTATAAAAGCTGAATGAAAATGCGTATAAAATTAATTAGAAACAACAACTTAATCGTGCGGCATTTCCGCTCGAGAGTCAAGCCGTCTATTCCACTCAAGCGCTTATCTTGGCCATAGACAAAGATCATTCTCGGTCGCCAGCTTCCACTTCCCCAGCTGTATGAATGAATGAGTGAATGAGTCGGCGCAGTGGCCCAGAGTGCAGGTGGTTGTTGTTTCAACTTTGGATTGGGCGCGTGGGCGGCTGCTTGGCTTGGGTTCGAGTGTATTTCCGCTTGAAAGCGGCAATAACAATATTTGTAATAATAAATTTACGTAAAATATAAATAAAATCAACGTCGCAACGCCCCCGCACACAAGCGTCGGCCCAGCGCCAACGCAAAGCGCAGTTAACAGCGACGCCAACAACTTGTCAAGAAGCTGGCCCAAAGCGATGCTCACAATTAGCCGAACTCGGCTGAGATACTTGGCTTTCTCACCGCTTTCCCAAAGCGAGCCATAAAAGGCCCGCGTCGCGTCTCCTACTTCCTAAGCGGGCTCCATTACCAGGCCGCGGCGAGCACTACGAATCATCGGCGTTCAGTACCCCCAAACGACTCATAGACTCAGTCTCGCGTTTTGTTACCATATTCAGGCAAACGCGATTTGCAGGCTGGTAATTAAAAGCCAGAGCGAGTAGAAAATTCAAATGCGTGCATAGTCAGTCGCCTTTAAAGCATTTGCATGAGCAATTGGCAGCCAGGGGCGGCGACAGAAGGGGACTCTACTCACAAAGATATTTCTGTAGAACTCTGAATCATCTCAAGTAACTTGAAAGCGTTGAAAGTATTCTTAAAATATGCTAAGCACTCTTTTTTATCTCTGTGGGCAACTTGAAAATAAATTAAAATTAATATTATTATAAACATTGCTTAAGATTATTATAAATTATAAATTCAAGAAATATTTTTTGTCTGCTCAACTTAAGACTTTTTCAGTCCCAAAGCAAATCACTGACTTAATAAATACAATTTTATTACCAAATCCAATTAACTAAATAATTCTTTAACATTTCAGCAAGCCCTCTTTCAGCTAAGCCCCTGTCCTTCTAGACTGTAGCATAAAAAAATAAATAAAAATAGATAAAGAAGCATAAAAATAATAAAAATGTGACGTTTGTTTTTTAATTATGGCGCGTTTGGTCATGTTCCTGTCTTTGGACTTGGCTGGCTGTAGATTAAGTTGTCAGCGTATTATGGCCGAATGCTATTGGCCAATTTGTAGACTTATATAAGCATTTTAAGTATGTATGCTTTGTGTCTTTTGCTGCCCCACGGAGCCGTCACTCCCCAAAAGCAGCACGATTCGCACGCAAATCAAATTAATGTTGCATGCCTTAATTTTTCACTCGCTGACCTTGCGACATGGATATAATTTATGCAGCTTACTGCCGAGCAGCGAAACGGGCAAACAGCTGACGGAGCTGTTGAAAAATTATAATCAAATTTAATTGTTATCATCATGATTTATTTGTTTCTGTGTCTGCCAGAACACAAAACGCCAAAGACAACAATGACGAACTGATCGACAGACAAATGAGCGTGCCAGCGAGTCAGCTGCTGTTCGCTCGATCAGTCGATCGGTCGATCGGTCGATCAGTCACACAGTCAGTCAGTCAGTCAGTCGATCAGTCGATTCGTCTTGTCAGCCAGCAATTTATCAATATCTCGCATGAGTATGTCGTCATTCAACTTGTTTTGCCCGCAGGAGCAAATCCATTTTGCAATTATCAATTGCCTGTTGCCATTTATAATTATAACTATTTGCTTAAACAATGAACATAGCACAATTTCCATATAAGAGGGCAGCCTAAATCTAGTAATATCTAAGCTAGATTAACTAATGTGAAAATTTATTTTAATTGTCTTTATTTATTTTAAATAATATTCATAAATCTATAAATCAAAGTGTTCAAGTAAAAATATGAAAAAATAAAAATAAAATGTCTCATATAAATAAAAAAAAAAAAAGTAAAATAAAAACAAGTAAATTAAATGTTGCAGCTGAACAATAAAGTAGCAAAAAGCCAAAGTACGAGATCGAGGGAGAGAATCTGATATGACATAAATGATATGTTCATCAAGATTATGCAATTAACATTTTATATTGCTATAATCAGTATCTAAACATCTTCATATTAGCTGAGCTATAAATAAATTTTGTAAGCATAAAAAAAAACCAGCATCAATATAGTTTTAATGCAGAATATTTTAAAAATCTTCAGATTTTGAAAACTAGACTAAACAAGACAAACAAAAATAAAAACTAATTCCTATGCATCTTATTTACCTTTGCTGCTCAAATGCTTAACACAATGAAGACATGTCATTAATATGATTTGCGATGAACAAGCGGAGATCTATGTATGTCATCATCATTCTGAATAGCTGCTGGCTGTGCTTCGAAAGAATTCGGCAAAAGCTCCAAAATAGTGTGGAAAATAGTTGAAGGTAGTCAGAAATGAACAAATTGCAATTGTATGTATCTGTGGGCCATAACAATGTTTGACTGATATATAAATGAATGTCAAGCAGCGCAGCGACATAAATAAAAAATTTGTAATAAATTTAAATAAATAACTGCCTGGCAATATTAGATCATACCCAGAGCGCAAACGCAGCAAACAAATCTCTGAGAGCGCTCCAACGAAACGAACTCAACTCGAAATGAAAACGAAAATTCAGCACGAAGCGCACAAAACTCACTCAAGAGCATCGAATGTGTTCAGATCGAGTGATCCGACCAACCGGCCTGCCAACGCAGCCACAACACCCACACAAGCCGAGTGAATTGAGTGGGTGACTGCGAGTGGAATGAGTGGAGAGCACCGAGAACTGGTTTGTTGTTGCTCAGCGGGATTGGGGCTGCGATGACGCTGTGTGTTGGCGTTGCCGAGAAACGATCTCCGCTCAGGCAGTGGGTTTAGCGGTTTATTGGTCGGCTGGCAAGCTGGCGAGCTGGCGAGCTGACGAACTGTGGCTCGTACTCGTATCTGTAAGATACAAACGTAAAGTGCTGCTTTTTAATGCCGCATTTCATTCATTGATCGTTTCAATAGCGCGCCGCACGCTCAGCGCAACAGACAAGTGCCGGTACCCGGGCTCCCGCCGCATGCTCTGTGTGGGCAACCAAGTCAGCAGCCACAATAACAAATACCACAATAAGCCTACTCAGACAACGCGTTGGCTTGGCTAACGGAGTCAAAGCCAAAGTGTACAGCCGAGTGGACGACATTGACGCCGCACAGCAGACGGCGGACGGCAGACGGCGGACGGTTGACAGTTGACGGCTGACGGCGTCGCTGACAATCGCTGCTCAGTGCATAGCGAACTAGCGCAGCGAGCAGACGCAGCTCATCGAAAACGAAAACAGAGACGCAAACGCACCTTTCTCCAAGTAGCAACAGCAGCAGCAGAAGCAGCAGCAGCAGCCACCGCAACGGGCAGTGTATTTTTGTGCGCCATCTCGGGTTATTGGATACAGATACATAGATACACATCAGACGCGCGCGTACTCACGGATATTTTTAGCAGCCGGCCGCACGCACACACACTCGCACTCACACACACGCACACACACAGTGGCAGTCACAGTTGCAGACTCACGCTGCTGACACACGCGGCTCGCACGTTTTGGAAAAACTGTTCTTCGAGGCTTTTCCCACATACGCGGCTGCAGCGCGCATATCCGACGGATTCTTGGCGAGCTGTGGAGCATAAAAATAATATTAATAAAAATAAATAAAAAATCGCAAACAGAAATATACAAATAAAAAACTATATACAAAATAATATCAAACAAGTTTCGCTAAGCAAAGTCGAGGTAATAAAACGAATTTATTCCGACGATAAAACAAAAATCAAAACAGAATTTTTATTGTGTTAATCCGAGCGAAATGTGTGTGTGTGTGTGCATGAGGCAAGCGTTAATATAAAATAGAGTCTCAACAACGTTAATCGAATATATAAATAAAAACCAAATAAATTTTAAACAAATTCTATGACTAATTAGCTAATGTTGTGGAATTTAAATTGATTCAGATTCCATTTCGGATTCACGCAATGTGCGCGGGTTGAGCTTAATTAAGCAAGAATTTTAATAAAATATCAACAAATCTCCAACACAGTGCTGAAAAGTGTTAAAAACAACAGAAACTACATTAAATTTTTCACAATTGCAAAACAAAGAAACAAAACTCAAACCAACTGCAGACGGCGGCGGCTCACACATTTTTTTGGATTTATGAAATCAAAAAGGTAAATAAATGTCTACATAACTCATATGTTGTTTTTGTAGCTGTAGCTGTTGTTCTTGTATCAATAAAAATAGCCAAAGCAGAAGATATGAGCAGCGGGCGGGCATATGGGGGAGCTGCTGCTCGCCGAGGCAGGCGACGCATTGCCCAAGGTGTTGAAAACTTTTGGTCCATTGGGGTTGGATTTCGGGCTGGGGGCCAGGCAGCTTGTCAACAGTTTTAATGTACCGACTCCCCCACTTTTGTGGGCCCAGCAGACGGCTTGGCTGGCTGGCTGGCTGGCTTGCCCTTTGTGAACTTAACATGGCGAACAGAGAAAACTTTCAATTCAATTGAACCAAATTTTGGCAAGGAACTGCCCGAAGCCAATAAATTTCAATTAATGCCTCAGCAGTGAGTCAATATTTGCTATACTATTTAAAGCATTATTCACTGTACATCACCTTTGCCAATTGGCAAGATCAATCATGATTTGTATAAAGAAATTTTATTTG